CAGAATATGTTTGTCAGAATATGTTTTATAAACCGATAATAATAATAATATACTATAATAAAACTGTAGATTGTTTGTCTGTTTGAACTCACTAATCTCCGGAACTACTGAATGGATTCTCGTCGGGCTTTAACTGGAATGTAGAGAGTGACCTCGGACGTAACCTAAGGTTCAAAAAAATGATATCGGACAAGGGGGCGTAGCACCTCCCATACGAGTGACATTTTTAATCAGCTATAACTTCGAAACCGTAAATCACATGACTTTGAAATTTGGTGTGTTGACATACATAAACAGCTATGGTAGATGCTTATTGTAAAGTAGATATACTTCTGTAAAAGGGGCGCGGCTCATCCTATAGCTGTGAAAGTTGTAATTAGCCATAATTTCGGAATCATACGTCACATTTGAAATTCCGCTCTGCACCGCATAATATACTTTTGCAAAAAAATAGTCGAGATATTTAGAGAACACGTCTTTATAGTATGCCCTGGATTAACGGGTATTAACTTTATGATAAGAAGTGCTTCTGCAAAAAAAATGGGTCCAAAACATAAATGGCGCTGAAATCATGATATTTAGATGCACCTCTACAAATTTACATTTTAGATGACTTAATAAAACCCCATTCTTTAAATATGCATACAAAGAAATGCTAAACTGTTTATGCTCCACAGATATCCTAGGCACATCAACGGGTCATCGGTATATTAATAAGAAGTGTGCTGAATTAGAGAGAACACGGTAGGAATATTAATGACCCCGTTTGAACGGGAAGACTCTTTCATCCTGTGGAACAGGAGTATTATAGAAAATTACGCACTCTCGGCAAACCTTGCAATACCTGCATATATCTCACAGTGGAAATAAGAGCTCTTAGCAAGGTTCTGCTCTTCAGTCTTTTCAACCTAAACTAATAATTTTTACATTACAAACCGTTTTTGCATTGCAACACTATTTTTGTATTGGTCAACGCAAACGTTCTTATAGGGCGTCGCGAAGCAAGCCAGGCATTTGCTAGTCAAAAATATATACATAGATATGCATACATGCAGCTTTTTTCATGTCAGCTGAGCCGAAGATACCTGAAAATATTCGACAACTATATAATACTATTAGAATACCTTTCCCACCATGTTCAGTGCTTATTTAGTGCATTTTATTCTGGATACGAAAATCGTTTTATACACATAAGTATGTACATACATATGTGTATAAATGCATTGTTTCAAATAAAATATATATCTTGATTGAATTAAAGTGAAAATTCAATTGGTTCTATAAAAGTTTAAAATCGTTATTAGTGCGTTGCTATTTATTTTGGTTTTTGATAAATACAAGAATACTTATATCTTGGACCGATCACTAATGTAGTATAAATGCATATTAAATTTTACTGAACAAAATTTTTTGATGTTTTGATTTGTCCCAAGTTTTGGTGCTTTTAGGAAAGTTGGCAGCCATGGGGTCTCACATTCGTGAGTACTCACATATACTTGTTCTCTTATTCCGATCACACATACAGATGCAATTCGCGCAAAATTTTCTGTTTCCCCCCCGGGCATAATTACCTCACCTCATCTACCCAACGGTTTGCACATTTGCCCTCGGTTTTCACGTTTGGGCATTTTGCCCGTATGTGCACATTATGCCCATCGCTACTATAAACGACAAGGAATTTCTTGATGGGACTTAATAAGAATATTGACTTGCTAGTATCGGAACTATTTCTTGCACGTTTATTTGCCAACATTTCTTCAACGGCTCGGAGCCAGTGAGTCATTCGCAATCGTATTATACTAATGCCAATAAGCTACTATTCCATATGAGCACCGATTTTTAACAGTTTCCAGTTTATGTAATATTAATAAAAACTGCTTTTATTTATTTTATGTATTACGTGATTTCTGAAAGCGTCGAATACAAAAAAGTGATGTAACTGGGTTTATGTAATTTAAAACTGTATTGACGATTAATGATAATTATAGATTGGCGCTTACACATATGTTAGTGTTTGGCCGAGGTTCTCCTCCTATTTCCGGCATGCGCCTTGATGTCGTTACACAAAGGGGAATTGACCTACAGTTTTACGCCGACTCCTGCCGGGGGGCCACCGCTATTAGAAAAAACTTTTTTTTTCTGATGCTGGCCGAAACTGGGCTCGAACGCTTACCCTGCCGAATGGTAGTTCGCACTTCTAACCAATACATCACAGCGATCGCTTAATTAATTTTAATCATTAATCGCTATTAACTATTTATTGTTTAATTTTTAATCATTCACGTCTTGACTGAACTTACTAATTCGAAATTTCTACTATTACTTGTAGAGTAGGCTGGGTATTGAAATAAAAAATTTTCTATTATAAGTTTCATAAATATTAGTATTTAATTAATTTTTTGCACACAAACTTGTATCTTCAACTTCTTTTCCCAAAAAGTGCGGATGTCAAAATTTTGATGGATATCGGATGTACGGAAATTTTCCAAAAAGATCTCTTAATGGATTAGTTCATGAAAATTATTCCAAACGAAAACTTTAAATTGATAAAAAAAATAATAACTAAATTTAACTAATTTATATTAGAGGTTTGAAGTTTATCCCACTGTAAGTTTGACATCTGTAGCTATGTGTTTCCATGATACAAAAAGGAGATAGTTCCATTGCCACTTTTTCGTCGCCATATCAACAACCTGACAATTAAGCAGATTGTGACATTTCATACTACCATACGCAATATCTAAAATCCTTCAAATTTTATTTTTAACTTTTTGTTTGTTTAAAAACATTTTCTTCTTAGATTCGAAACTTGAACAAGCAAAATTTCTTTTGTTTTTGAAAGAGAGATGCTCAATAAGTTCACAATTGTAGTTCTCATTTGCAAACTTACAATAAATTATTAATTTTTGTTTCAGACTCCAATATTGAACAGTAAAATATATTTTAATTTTACCCAAATAAACAACGATGTACTTAAATGGTCAAACACATATAGGGGATTCACAAGCCGTGTTATGCGTGGTAAAGTGTTAAAGGCTTAAAGGTTTTAAACCTAAAATAATGGCTAATACCTTTTTAGGCATTTTGTAATTTAACCAAAATTCATTAGCATCCTCTTAAACAAGTAGTTATATACTTTTCAAGATGCATTAGCAGAGTGCACTTCTTTTTTGTTTACAATTTGGTTGTCAAACACACTACATCTAATCTTTTGACACATTTGCCAGAATTTACCACCAAAAAATCTTCGGATTAAACTGGTAGCTTCTGACAAAGAGATGACTTTACTTACTCTCTTATTTGTCCTCTCAGTTGCCAGAAAACCGAGTACGATTTCCGGTAAAAGCTGGAAAATGCTGGTAAAAAATGGTAATCGGGCCCATACGGGTTGACAACTAAATAATATTGGGAATACTTTTGAGGTGTTTGAAGAGGGTTGGGACCTGTTTAAAACTAAATTTATTTATAATAATAATATTTTGGCGTTGATACTTTTGCTAAGTGTTTGGCCGAGCTTCTCCTCCAGTTGGTGGCAGAAATACTTACTTACGTCTTCAAATATTTCGTTGTTTTATTACTGCTTTTTTAAGAAAAGTATAAATTTATTCGGTCTCACTGTTATTTAGAAAAAAGAAGTCTGATGAGGAGATGAAGTGGTCTCCGAAATAGCTGCTTTAACTTCTACCGCTTAGACTACGTAAATAAAAGACATTGTTTCTTAACGTCGCTGTTTTTCATTTAAACAAGATTATCGGAACATACCCTTACTCACAAAATTGAGAGCGCGGTTATTATTTTTTCAATATTCGCAATGTTGTTCATGTTAAATATTTTTGGCAAATTTTATATTAAATTTGACTTGCGTTTTCACAAACACCATATAAATGCAAGTTTCAAGCTTTGTGCGAGATTTATGATAATTGTGCAAAGTTTCATCAAAATTAAAAACTTTAATCAGAATTTCTAAAAAATTCGAGTATGTATGCAGTTGTATAGACCACTCAAATGTAATATGCTAATGTGCAAATTTTTATTTTATTTTATTTTTATTTATTTTTGTAATTTAAACGACGATATGAACATATGTATGTACATATGGTGACTCAAACAAATGATAACGTGTTGATTTTTTTTAAATAATCGTAATGTTTTTCGAGCTTAATTTTTTTGTTACTGTTTCAATAAAAATACCGCTCATTTTAGTGCAATAAAGTCAAGTTCCAACCGTTGATTTTTGAAAATTTTTTCTGTGACGGATTTTTGCACCTTTTTCCATATAAGCATGAATTCCTTATGAAATAAAATGCGGGAGACGGTTAGCAATACAATTTCAAAAAATCAACGCTAAATTGGCACTTATACCTATGTTAGTCTTTGGCCGAGCTTCTCCTCCGATTTGTAGCGTGCGCTTTTGTTGTCACATAAATGGGAGGGACCTACAGCCTTACGCCGACGGCGATTAAATTTTTATGATGAGCTGTTTTTTTTTTATTAAAGACACTTAGATTTCAAAGTATTTTCACTAAAAGTTGATTAACCTAAATGTAAAGTTTTTGCGAAGTGGTTATCGAATTTAATGTAAAATTTAAACATTTTTAAGATAAGATATGAATTATTTTTAAAATGTAAATGTTAATACAACTGTTTTATATATAATCCCAAATTTATGATATAAAATCCCCTCTTCCAAAAAACATAATTGGGTAACGCCGCTTCGAATTTTTACAATTGAGCAATTGTCAAAAATCTGCCTTGTTATCAAAAAGTTGTTTACCAGGGTGTCTTTGAAGTAATGATTGGTACTGAATTAAAGAATGCACACACATAAAAGATTGCAGCCCTTTCAATATACATTCAGTTTTAACCTTTTATTGATTGGGCATTGCTTTTTTCAATCTTGCTATGAATATGTTGATGTGTGAATTCATAACTGCTTTGAGTGAATGAAAAATTAAAAAATTATAAACCTCAATCTTAAGCGAAGAATAAGTAATGAAAACTTTATAGAAAAAAATTGTTGATTTAAAATTGAAAATGATTTCACACTTACACAGCTCTGGTTAGCGGGATGTTTTTACCTTATTAACAGTTTTGCTTTTGCCTTTTGTAGATTCGCGTCGCATTTAAGCCTGTCCGGACGTGGACGCTGAAGTATCCAAAGGTTCAGAAATCTCATTCCAATTTGTTGCCTTTGGAGGTGCTGTTTGAACGTGTAGGAGTGAGTGATGTCGAGAATGGCAGGTGGCGCAATTGAACGAACTAGTGCATTTCGATACCAAATGTCTAAAGGCGAGGCAGTTCACACAACAATTATTGTTTTTTTCGAAAGCAACTCTGTCGTCTACGGTTAATTTGCGGAACCTTGGACATAGATGCACCTTGTGTTCGTTACACTGGCACATTTTGCACATATATTTAACGACACTTGTTTGAAAAGCGCCAAGTCTCTTATGCGAAAGTTCAGAGGTATGCTTATAGTTCGGAGCCTTTGAGGGTTTCAAAGCAGTGATTCCTCTTAAACCTGAGACCGATTCAAGCGTTTGGAACCTATTTGAAAGAAATCGGTCCTTATCTGTCCACTTGGAAATTGCAGTTTTATTATCTACCGATTGTTCCCACAGCGAAAGTGTCACCTCCGGCAGTTTTGTAAAACATAGGTACGTTACTTTTGGGTCCCATAGTCATCGGCGCAACGCTTGGAGCAAGATTTGGTTGCACGTTCGCACCGATGATAAATTTGATGAAAATAAATTAAAAGAATTTAGTATTAGTATAACTAATAACAACAATGTTGTTTAGGCCTCCGCCTAAATAGATTAGAAAATGACACCCCTAATGTTTAACATTGCGTTAACATTGCCGCTGTTAACTTTCCCCTCGCTTGCTATTGGTTTCCGTTATTGGAATAGTACTACTTGACAACATCTTGGCAGGCTACCGCCATCATAATAAAAAACTGTTCACTTACTTCCTTTGCGAGCATTCAAGAGAGAAGACGTGATCCAGCCACCATACTACAGCGTATTCAAAGGTAATCTACAAAAGAAATTGTGTATAATTACATATATCCATAGCACATTTTTATATTAATAAATCTACCTATTTATATTAATCAAATACTAATACCACTTTGTGTTCTTTCTTTGTGGAAAAAAAATCGGCACAACTGGTTCCAATCGTTGTGGCGATTAACACTGGTCCTTCGTCGCCAAAAATAACAAAGTTGTACATTACACCAAGTTTGTTTGCCAGCCACTGAGGGTTTCAAGAGCCAGGAAGCAGCATTCATTTTTTCAAAGCAAGACTTATCCTGCGAGGAAAACTCCACTAAAAGACTCTTGGCATTTGCGCATACAGCCATAGATATACACCGCCGGCATCTGTATCTACATACAAGGAAAGAAACCAACTTCGTTTAAATTGTGAAAGGTACGTGGGTCAGTTTAACTGCACTTAATTTATTGTGATATGATTGTTTAGTGAAGAAAATATAAAATAAATGAAAACGCGAGAGGTTTTTTGAAAATATCAAGGTTTAAGTGCAGAAGTGCTTCTAGTGACACACACACGCATATATTAACATACATAAGTGGGCGCTACAGCCATTTTCATAAAGAACGGCAGTTTTTGTTTGTTGTTGTTGGCTTTCAATTTGCGCCATATCATTGCAAGAAGTTTCACTCGGTGATTAATTTAATCAGTTTAATTTTAATAATCATATTTTCTTTGTGACTTGCTCATTTTTGCCTTTAAATTCAATAAATACAAACAAAATCACATATACTGGGAGCCTAGTGTTAAAAATAATAATAAGAATAATTGCAGTGCACGTTATACATTGTTTAATCGCTATACATACGCACATATATACACACATCTAGTTAGCGAATATATATACATATCACTAGTTTGGTTGGCAAGCAATTTCGTGTTAACCAACAAACATACATACGTATTCTTCAAACGCATTTAGATTGCTAAATCTTGAATAAACATAGAAAGTACAGATACAATTTGAAGGAAAATTAGAGAATTTCTATTACTTTGTGGTTGAATTGGTGGTATTTTGGTGGTACATTCGGCTTATACATTGGGTATATACTTTTGGGGTTACCTTGACATAGGATTTTCTTCGTGTGCTACCTTTACGGTTGGAAAGTCGGCTTTTCTTGAGTCAGTCTCTCATAGAGATACTTCCAAAAGGTTCTTGTGAAGTTGTTATTTCGCAAATAAGTGAAAAAAAATTAAATAAAATGGAAACATACACCCGGTTAGCAGATTCGGTCATTGAATTTGATACAGAATTTCTGAGCACTCCCACAGGTGAGCACACCAAACATTCGCTGAAAATTCAGCAAAGCGAGCTTAGTGTACTGTGGGAGAAAGCCAAAGCACTATTTGACGAAGTTCTGACTACCGAATCAACTAGTGCTAAAGATCTTAGCGCTATAAGAAAGAAAAGTAAGATCTGCTATGCAGCCTTTGTGCGGTGTATGACAAAAATTAACGAATATTCCGAAAAGTTGGAAAAATCAGAAAAGGAAAGTGAAGAGATGTCACTCGCTTCGCATAGTTTGCATCTTCCACCTTGCGATATTGACGTTTTTAAAGGTGACTATCTGTCGTGGCCAACTTTTCGTGACATGTTCACAGCAATTTATATCTTGAACAAACGGCTTACACCCATACAGAAGCTTTATTATCTGAATCAGAAAACGCAGGGTGAAGCCAAAGAAATTGTCAAGAAATGCGACTTAACGAATGAAGGCTTTAACACAGCCTGGAAGAATCTTTGCGATAGATACGAAAATAAGAGGATCCTAGTTAACACTCAGTTGAAGATTCTCTTCAACTTGAATACAGTTGATAGCGAATGTGGAAGCTCAATAAAGAGATTACAAAGGGATATTAATAATTGTATATCACCCCTAGAGAGTCACCAGATTGACATTTCAAACTGGGACCCTATTATTACGTATCTGTGTTCTACTAAACTACCTGAGGAAACCATTTCGCTGTGGGAACAATCGGTAGAAAATAAAACAGAAATATCCAAGTGGTCAGATATGGACCGATTCCTTTCAAGCAGGTTTCAAACGTTAGAATCGGTTTCAGGTTTAAGAGGAATCAAGACTTCGAAGTTTTCAAAAGTGCCAAGTCATAAGCATTCCTCTGAACCCTCTCACAAGAAACTTGGCGTTTTTCAAACTAGTGTCCCCAAATACATGTGCCAAAGCAACGAGCATAGAATTCATATGTGCCCAAAATTTCTGAAGATGTCTGTAGCTGATAGAATCTCCTTTGTAAAAACAAACAATAGCTGTTTTAACTGTCTGTCTTTCGGACATTCGGTGTCGAAATGCACGAGTTCTTACAACTGCGCCAATTGCCATTCTCGACACCATACGCTCCTACACAATCAGACAGCACCGCATAAAACAGCTACCAGGGAAAATACTTCTAATCCTGCGGACAATTTACCATCGACTTCCAGACAGGCACAATTGAGGAATCAAGCTTCAAAGGGGAAAAGTAACCAAGTAAAAAAGGTGCAATCACATCACGCTAATAACGGGTGATTTTTTTGAGGTTAGGATTTTCATGCATTAGTATTTGACAGATCACGTGGGATTTCAGACATGGTGTCAAAGAGAAAGATGCTCAGTATGCTTTGAAATTTCATCATGAATAGACTTACTAACGAGCAACGCTTGCAAATCATTGAATTTTATTACCAAAATCAGTGTTCGGTTCGAAATGTGTTTCGCGCTTTACGTCCGATTTATGGTCTACATAATCGACCAAGTGAGCAAACAATTAATGCGATTGTGACCAAGTTTCGCACTCAGTTTACTTTATTGGACATTAAACCAACCACACGAATGCGTACAGTGCGTACAGAAGAGAATATTGCGTCTGTTTCTGAGAGTGTTGCTGAAGACCGTGAAATGTCGATTCGTCGCCGTTCGCAGCAATTGGGTTTGTGTTATTCGACCACATGGAAGATTTTACGCAAAGATCTTGGTGTAAAACCGTATAAAATACAGCTCGTGCAAGAACTGAAGCCGAACGATCTGCCACAACGTCGAATTTTCAGTGAATGGGCCCTAGAAAAGTTGGCAGAAAATCCGCTTTTTTATCGACAAATTTTGTTCAGCGATGAGGCTCATTTCTGGTTGAATGGCTTCGTAAATAAGCAAAATTGCCGCATTTGGAGTGAAGAGCAACCAGAAGCCGTTCAAGAACTGCCCATGCATCCCGAAAAATGCACTGTTTGGTGTGGTTTGTACGCTGGTGGAATCATTGGACCGTATTTTTTCAAAGATGCTGTTGGACGCAACGTTACGGTGAATGGCGATCGCTATCGTTCGATGCTAACAAACTTTTTGTTGCCAAAAATGGAAGAACTGAACTTGGTTGACATGTGGTTTCAACAAGATGGCGCTACATGCCACACAGCTCGCGATTCTATGGCCATTTTGAGGGAAAACTTCGGAGAACAATTCATCTCAAGAAATGGACCGGTAAGTTGGCCACCAAGATCATGCGATTTGACGCCTTTAGACTATTTTTTGTGGGGCTACGTCAAGTCTAAAGTCTACAGAAATAAGCCAGCAACTATTCCAGCTTTGGAAGACAACATTTCCGAAGAAATTCGGGCTATTCCGGCCGAAATGCTCGAAAAAGTTGCCCAAAATTGGACTTTCCGAATGGACCACCTAAGACGCAGCCGCGGTCAACATTTAAATGAAATTATCTTCAAAAAGTAAATGTCATGGACCAATCTAACGTTTCAAATAAAGAACCGATGAGATTTTGCAAAAAAAAAGTTATCAAGCTCTTAAAAAATCACCCGTTACTAGCAAAG